GCTTGTCTTGTTATCATTAACCGCTTTCCTGCCGCCCTATAGCAGAAATACTGCTACAGCGTTGCAGGGGTACGCAAAATCACATATATATATATATAATATATGTATATATAATATATGTGATTTTGCATTTCCGGGTAGGGGGCGCGCACCGTTGGCGACTTCACCTGTCGATCACTGAGTCCCGGCCAGTGATTCCCCTCCGGCACCTGGCAATTACTGTGTATCACGGAGAGGGGAAGTATGTAAACAATATAGATCTCTCCCGTCAGCTCCTGCACACTGCTTTGTATGGCTCTGCTATGCAGTAAAGCTTACACACACCACACAGTTAGCCCTCATGCACTCTGGACATTTTGATAACGCTGGTAACGTTAGCGGTTTCAAGTCACGTTAAAAAGTGAGTTTTTCAGCGTTTAGCTGCGTTTTGCGGCGTTTTCCTGTGTCTTTCCGCATTTTTTTTGTGGTATTTATTTTTTTAGTCAAAAAAAGTCCAAAAACACCAGTTTACCACTTTTTTCATCTTTAGAACATTTTTTTTCAGCCAAAAATTGTTGATTACAGTCTGTGTGCATAGACACATAGGATAACATGCTGGAGGGGTTTACTGGCTGTAGAAAAAAACGTCAAAAGCCAAAAACAGCCGCTGGAAAAACATTAAGTGTGCATGAGGACTAAAACAGCACACAGTTAACCCTTTGATCTCCCCAGATGCTAACCCCTTCCTGCCCAGTGTCATTAGTACAGTATCGGTGCTTTTTATTAGCACTGATCACTGCACTGGTGTCACTGGGGACATCAGTGACAGTTAGTTCCCCCCAGTGTCAGAATGTCCACCGCAATCCTGCTAAAAGTCGCCATTACTAGTATAAAAAAAAAAAGAAAATTCCAATATATAGACCGCCATTTGTAGATGCTATAAATTTCATGTAAACCAATTAATTTACACGTATTGGGATTTTTTTTCAGCAAAGACATATAGAAGAATACATTTTGGCCTAAATTTATAATTAAATGTGTGTGTATATATATATAGATATATTGCATAGCTATAGGTTGATATGTATTTGTCATGTCTGTACTTATTGTTTGTCATAATTAAATTTTCTACCAACCTCCTTTTCTGTTTTTTTTTGTGTTTTCATTTTCAATCAATAGCAAACAATTCAGTAAATCGCAGCGTTTCCTTTTTTTTTTTTTCTTCTAAACGTCCATGTAGCCATAAACACAAACAGGATCACCCAGAGCCCTGTCATGTATCACAATGTATCCTGAGTTCCAGTGAGAGGATTTCCTTGCCTCCTCAGTGACGTGCACTGGCACACAGTCGGATCATTCGGAGCACCTCAGTCGGTAATAGGTTAACCCCGTGTCCCTTCCTGCGGTACCCAGCGCTCAGACAGACCTCAACTGCGCATGTGTGCAGCATCCTTTCTGCTCCTCTAAGCCCCGTAGGGATGCACTGACGTTGCAGCACATCCCTCCAACCTCCCCCCTTTTAAAGCTGAGCGCTGGAGCCAAGAAGGAGACATGAGGATAGAGTGAGTGGGAGCAGGCACAGTCCTCCCCACTTCACCCACCCACCTATCACCTTTCAGCCTAGCCCGTGTCTATACCAGTGAGGAGTCTGTAGCAGGGAGCAGAGGCAGTTGTACCACGCAGCAATGCAGACATCCATGGAGTTAAAGAAATCCATCTCTGCCACCTTGGAGACAGAGAAGCCAATGAAGAGCTATGGAGCAGTGGAGGAAACTGACTGGAAGGCAGGGGGGCTGGGGAGAAGTAAGTACGGCTTCTTGTATACACAGGTCTGTTCGGAATACATAGGAGCAGCCTGAAAGCCTTGATTCTGTTTAATCAGCACTGGTTCTGCAATGACTGTTCATTATGTGTGCACTGTATGATTTCATTGCACATGGGATTTGTGGGCACACAAGCAGTGGAGGGATTGCTGGGGCTGATCTGCTTTGGTTTTGTCTGTTGCAATCAATAGTTAATATTGATTTATTCTGGATGTGGGGACCATATGAGTACTGCTAGACATTTGTGTTTTTTTTATTTAATTTGGAATAATGCACAAAAGATGGTTTGTATTGGCAGGTGTAAAATTTGATCAACCATAAATTCTGTCAATCTTTTACATCAGGCAGGTTACTGTGACTGACAGCTATTTATAAACAAAAGATGAATGCATTTATTCTTTTTCATTTCCTTGTACAAAGCTGGGCTTTATTTGATCACTACTAAATAAATATCATACCAAAAAAAATAAATAATAAAAAATGTATGCCATTTTCATCAAATGGTAAATCTTTTGTACCGAACATTTTTATTTTTAGGCTAAGCATTTGTATTGTTACATTTAGTTTAAAGTAGTATTAAACACTAGATTTTCAGCCTAACACATTAAGCACAGTAAAATAAACATTTCCCGGTAAACTATCTGTTAAAATTCTTACTCTTGCAGTGTACAACTTTTAATGCTGTTGGCTTCTGCTCTCTGAGTGGTGCTTCCCAGAACTTCAGATCTTTACAGGAAATAGTTAAAGCTGAACTTTGGGTATGGCTTTTGTTTTATAGTTACAGTATATAGGTTCAGCTTGGACCACTGCAGGTGTGCATGTGCCATACTTGGCCCATCCCTGTGGAAGCTGTAAATCTCTTTACTGGACACGGCTAGTTGGCTTCCAGTTTCCTTGCCGAGCGGTTACCCTGCTGCACAGTGAACACAGGTGGTTGTTCGCTCACTCACATGGTGTGGGAACCATTTTCTCAATAAATGCAAAGTGTTCACTGATTGGACAAGATGGAGATCTTGGCATCATTTCCCCATCTCTTCACCTTGTTCTATCAGAGAACACCTTGCATTCATTGAGAAAAATGCAAAACGTTCTGTGAATGGTGACCCAGGAGATAGCAGCAATCACTGTAGTAACAGAGATTTCTAGTTTCCACAGGAATTGGACAGGTGTGGCATGCAACTCTGCAAGAAAAGCCATGCCTAAATTTCAGTTTTACCAGTGGACAGTGCAGTCTCTGGCCAGTCTGTTAGCTTGGAGAAAGGAAGGGAAGGAGGAGCAGGAGTGCCTTGCCATTCTATGCTATGAGCTGCGTGATTCCATAGATGCTCACAGTGTAGGTAGACATAACCTCTAGTTCCTGTTTGCAAGGGTCATGCCATAGGATGCTGCAAGAGAAAAGAGCTACTCAGAAACTGGATATATAGGGCAGTGGTCATGGCTCTAGCTTAAACAGGAACATAGGCAAGGATTAAAAGATGAAGAAGCTGCATACTCAGTTAGTGAATAAATCAGCTGCTGAAAGTGCTGAAAAAAGGTTCAATATCACTTTTAATCATCAGTTTCTAATATCTCGCAGGAACTCTGCTGGGGAGATTGCTGCTCTTGAGTTCCCAGGTCTGCACACTGCAGAGGGTGGTTCCACTTTTCATTTTTTGTTTTTTTTAAATTTATTTTCTATATGGAGAATGAAAGGAGATGTCAGGACAAAACAAAAAAGTGGGCATCTACAATTTCCAGGTGGAAGTTTTGCAGGGATTTCTTAATATTGGAGCATCCAAGTCAAATAGGATGTCAAGGGCTGACTCAACTAAATGGCACCTATAGCTAACATATCACTTTTGGGTAGACTGACCCTTTCATAATTAGTTCCATGATCCCGAAATATGTCGAGAAAAGCATCCCTATTCATTCTTTTGTGGCAAGTCCAGTTCAAACCAGTACAATAATAACAGATACTGTATAGAGAGTACACATAAAGGTGGTTTCCAGTCAAAACTGAAAATCATATCTTGAGATGTATATGGGGAGTATAGACCACTGGTGCCTTGTGTGTTTTTTTTGTTTGTTTTTTTTAATTCAGGCATAGCTGTAATGCGCCAATTTCCCTTTTTCAGTAAAAGGGTGATCGGAATGAACCTGCTTGTGATGTTAAAACATGCCGATACTTTGCAGTGTGATGAATGATGAAAGTATCGGTACTCTGTTTTGGCAAGTACTTGACTGAAAGTATCGGTACTCATACTCTCCAATAAAAAAGGATATCCGTACATCCCTAATTATTATTATTATTCAGGATTTATATAGCGCCATAGGAATCAGAGGGCCCTGCTCATTAGAGTGAACAATCTAAAAGGGAGGGTCAAGTGATACAAAAGGTAATAACTTTGGAGGATGAGCTTACATAGTTACATACATAGTTAGTCACACGAAATGCGTCAGGAGGAGCCTTGCCGCACTGAGGTCACGCCACTGAGGCCGCATTGAAGGCCGGCGGCCATCTTAACTGCTCTGTAAGCTTACATCTATGCCTTATTGCATACCTCAAATTTCTTGCCAATACTTTAATAAAAAGACTACACTATCCGAATACTTTCATTTTGTGGTTTGTTCATGAGCCATTCAAGGTGGACCACTATCCTTTTATCAACTAACTTCTATGGTGGAGATGCATAAGAGGAGCTGTCTCTATATGCTGTGACGGTCTGGTGTGCCTTTCCTGTGTGCTGTGTGTGTACCAGCGGAGCCCCCTGTCCCCGCCAGAACCCTGATGACCACCAGTGTTTCCTCGGATATTATTACATACGCATTAATATAATCCCTTATCACTGAAGTCACGAGCACGGAAATTTGACGCATCACTTTATGGACTATGTGTAATTCAAGATTCAAAATTGAGAACAATAAAAAGTGTCAGTGTTGGAATACAGTGTTCATGTATTCTATGCAACAGCTACATCAGTACTCAGCAGAGATATATTCTTCATCCAATAGATCAGTGGTTCTCAACCTTCCTAATGCCGCGACCCTTTAATACAGTTCCTTATGTTGTGGTGACCCCCAACCATAATTATTTTCGTTGCCACTTCATAACTGTAATATTGCAGTGGGAGGAGTAGTGCCACATCATTGGTGTCAGTGGGAGGAGTAGTGCCACATCACTGATGTCAGTGGGAGGAATAGTGTCCCATCGTTGGTATCAGTGGGAGGAATAGTGTCTCATCATTGGTATCAGTGGGAGGAATAGTGTCCCATTGTTGGTATCCGTGGGAGGAATAGTGCCACATCATTGGTGTCAGTGGGAGGATAGTGCCCCATCGTTGGAATCAGTGGGAGGGGGGGGAATAGTGCCCCATGTTTGGTGTCAGTGGGGGGGGGAATAGTGCCCCATGGTTGGTGTCAGTGGGGGGGGGATAGTGGCCCATGGTTGGTGTCAGTGGGGGGGAATAGTGTCCCATCGTTGGTGTCAGTGCGGGGAGGAATAGTGCCCCATCGTTGGTGTCAGTGGGGGGGGAGGAATAGTGCCCCATCGTTGGTGTCAGTGGGGGGGGAAATAGTGCCCCATCATTGGTGTCAGTGGGAGGAATAGTGCCCCATCATTGGTATTAGTGAAACCGATGATGGGGCACTATTCCTCCCACTGACACCAATGATACTTACCTTGCTGACCCCTGCTCCAGCCTGGGCTCGCTCCCTCCCTCTCCCATCTACAGTCAGCATACCTGGCTGCAGCAGCACCATCTGCACGATACAGACACTGTCAGCTGTCTTCCTTCTCTGGCCGCTCTCCTCTTCACTCACTCCAGCAGCTCCCTCACTCGATCTTCTTTGATCTTTGCGTTGCCACTCAGCTCCTCCTCTTCAAGCTCCACCTCCTCGCCGGTGATTGGCCACCTGTGTGCCTCTCCTGAGCTACAGTTCTGGCGGCCAATCACCGGCGAGGAGGTGGAGCTGTTGAGTGATCCTGGGGTGTGGCCAGATGAGAGGGGCGACATGTCATCCCACCCACACATCACCTGGAGATGGATAGAGGAGCGGTGTCTTGGTTTCTAAGACCAACGGAAATACAGTATGTGTTTTTCAATGGTCTTAGGTGACCCCTGTGAAATGGTCGTTCGACACCCAAAGGGGTCACGACCCACAGGTTGAGAACCGCTGATCTAAAGCATCTAAATGCATGTAAACACATCTAAAGTCACCTAAGAGCCAAGCAGTTGAAAGTTTTTTTCATTAAAATGGCCAACTTTTCTGCAATAGAGAAAAGCATTTGCAAAATCCCCAGTGTGCATGAAGCCTTACACTTTCTCTCCATCCTTATACAGTATATTTTATCTGAAGCATAGAGTTAACCTAGGGTTAGCAATAACAGCATGTCTATTAAGATAAACATGCTGTACAATATACACTCATCGGCCACTTTATTAGGAATTTTTTAGGAAGAAAGGGGATTTAAGTGACTTTGAACGTGTCGTGGTTGTTGGTGCCAGACAGGCTGGTCTGAATATTTCAAAAAGTGCTGATCTATTAGGACTTTCACACACAACCATCTCTAGCATTTAAAAAGAATGGTCCAAAAAAGAGAAAATATCAAGTGAGCGGCAGTTGTATGGATGAAAATGCGTTGTTGATGTCAGAGGTCAGAAGAGAATGTGTAGGCTGGTTCGAGATGATAGAAAAGCAATAGTAACTCAAATAACCACTTGGTACAATCAGGGTATGCAGAATACCATCTCGAAAGTACAGCATGTCAAACCTTGAAGTAGATGGGCTACAGTAGAAGAAGACACACTGGGTGCCACTCCTGTCAGCTACGAACAGGGCACAGAGGCTACAATTCATACAGGCTCACCAAAATTGGACAATAGAAGATTGGAAAAAAGTCGCCTGGTCTGATGAGTCTCGATTTCAGTTGCGACATTCGGATGGTAGGGTCAGAATTTGGTGTAATCAACATGAAAGCATGGATCCATCCTTTCATGTAGCAATGGTTCAGGCTGGTGGTGGTGGTGCAATGGTGTGGGGGGTATTTTCTTGGCAACTTAGTACCAATTGAGCATTGTTGCTGACCATGTCTATCCCTTACTACAGTGTACCCATCTTCTGATGGCTACTTCCAGCAGCATAATGCACCATGTCACAAAGCTCAAATCATCTCAAACTGGTTTCTTGAACATGACAATGAGTTCACTTTACACCAATGGCCTCCGCAGTCATCAGATCTCAATCCAATAGAGCACCTTTATGTAGCGCTACCCTTGCCTTCCTCTGGATCAACTGTGGGTATAGGATTATAACTTTTTTTTTTTTATTTTAATGGTTGAACTGGATGGGCTTTTGTCTTTTTTCAGCCAGACTAACAATGTAATAATGCAATCCCGAAATAGCCGCTTGTATGTTTTCCACGGGCTCCCAATTATTCACCTCGCAGCAACGCACAGTTTATTTCTGCAGCCAAATACACTCACACACTCTTCCACTCCTTGTCTTTAATGACCAGTCTAGGGGATTTTTTGTTTTTGGAGTTTATTGTAGAACTGGGGATAGGGATGGGGAATTGTAGTAAGATATTCCAAAATCAGAACTATTCGCACCAAGGACATCTAGCTGATCTCTTAGTTGAACACTTATGAAGTCTTGGCTGACAGTAGATAGCAGACTTCCTTGTAACATATATCATCAAGCAGTTTTAGGAGTGAGCAGAGTCCCTTTAGCAGTAGTAGTAGTTACAGCGCTGATCTCCTCAGGTATAAGCCAGTTACGACAGACTGCAACAGCAGTAGCAACACTTGGACAAGCTCTTCAGAACACTAGCCAGTGTTCCCTTGTTCCAGACCCAAGCCGACTATCAAACACCAGGGGAAGTAGCAAGCACACAGTGTCCCCAAATTCCTCAATGTCAGTACTCACAAGGCCCAAGGATAGAATCAATAGACACATATAGGATGCAGCGCTGAGAAGTATTAAATCATGTTAGACGTAATAAATTATTGTTAAGGTATAGCATCAAAACTTAAGTCCTTAATAAATTCAATATGGTGCAACGTGACAATGGTGATAAATTCAATATGAAGATAGTGACTTCCGTGGCTGTCGTGGCTTGTGGAGAATAAATGTATATTGCACTAACCAGATAGCACAAATGATTGTGCGTTGGAGTATATAAGACCTACTCCACAGTGCTCAGGAATTGGGAACTCTGCATAGGGATGAAGTCGTCAGGTAGGAATTAGCCACCAGGTGTCATCCATCCAGGACAGGTTACCACTCTCCAATATCACCACATCAAGCAGACCAGGTTTAGCAGTATCCAGCAGTATTGGTCTTGGCCACCAGGGGGATCCCACATTGGAGCACGGATCCAATGCAAAAAAGCACCTTAGGTGAAGGGGGCTCAGAGATGCCAAAAAATGAGCCCAGAAGAGAGAAAACTCCAATAGTATAGTATTTTAATGATCCAAATGGGATAATATCAGAGAATAAATACAAAAAAACAGGAAAACACCTACATGACAGAAATCCAATATGGCTGCCTTTGATAAAGTGTTATGACACGAAACGCATTAGGGAGTTGCTCCCAATCACTATTCACCCACCGCATGGCCCTATTCATGTTAAGGCAGCCATATTGGATTTCTGTCATGTAAGTGTTTTCCTGTTTTTTGTATTTATTCTCTGATATTATCCCATTTGGATCATTAAAATAATATACTATTGGAGTTCTCTCTTCTGGGCTCATTTTCTTGGCATCTCTGAGCCCCCTTCCCCTAAGGTGCTTTTTTTAAGCAGAATACCACACTGTATTTACCTGACAGTCTCTCTGGTAAGCAAAGAAATACAGCTATGCTTCACTTAACTGTACACATCCTAGCACCTAACTAGGAGGGTGCTACATTTGGGATGTGGTGGAATGGGAAATTCACATCGTGGATGTGCAGCTGACAAACCTGCACATCTGCGTGATGCTATCATGTGAATATGGACCAAAATCTCTGAGGAATGTTTCCAACACTATGCCACGAAGAATTAAGGCAGTTCTGAAGGCAAAAGGGGGTCCACCCCGGTACTAAGATTAAGATTAATTTATTGTCAGTGTGAATAAATTTCACAACGAAATTACAAACAATGAGTACTAGCAAGGTGTATCGGTGGACGGTGAGTATACATCAACACAGTGTGATTAGTCCAGGCCAAAATATTTATCTTTTCTACATAAAATGACATTTACTTTATAAACAAGACAGAAACTTACCTGCTTTTCTAGGCACTTGTTATTTAATTTTTGGTTTTCTGCCATGGGTGTTATTGTAAATCTTTTTTCCATTGGTCTTTTCACTTTATGTAACATTTAAATTACACCATCCTGTATCTTAAATGTTGGAAGTTTTAGTTTTGTTGACCCATGCTGACTTGGTTGTGTGGGAAGATGATGAAAAAGAATGACTAGTGAAGAGTTAATGCGTTTCTGCTACATATTTGATCAGGCTATTTTAAGGAATTCTTTGATTCCAGAACATGTAGAGCAGTGAGTCATTCGGATAAGCAATAATATGCACTAACTTTAATGTGTTACTGTGAAATTTTATACCATCAACAGAGATGAGTGAATAATTGAAAATCTGCACTGCCAGTGTTTCAGCAGTTTGGGACACTATTATTCATTCTGCTGGGGAAACCCTGTCCCCAAATGCCATCACAGCCCTAATAAAAATGTACTGCACTTCCTCATAGCACCGAATAGGAAATTATGCTACTTCTGTTTTGTGTTTCTGTTGACACAGGTTGTGGAATTCCTCATCTCAGAGCAAAACGACTGACTCTAAATACCTCTAATCACCAACTTTAACAAAACATACTAGTGAACTTTAAAAGTGAACCACCAACTTATCAGTATGGCATTAAAGCAATTAGCCAGCTAACAGTGATGTTTCAGTTTTGCCTAGATACTGACAAGTTGGATCACCCATAAACCTCTTACTTCTCGCCAGGACATGATGAAAAAAACATCTGCACTTCCAAACCATTTACTTATGGCACTTGGGGAGGGGGCGGGGGATGTCAGTCTTCCATTTTAATTCTTTCTTTTTCTTTACATAAAAAGAGATAGAAAATGAATAAGGGTCAGTATGACATCTCTAGCCTGTGGGATAAAAAGAGAAATGCAAACAAATTCCTCCATCCACTGCATACGGTGCAGATGGACAAATCTCCCACTGTGTGTACTTGTATTTTCATAGCTAGACCTGCCAGCTGTCAAAATACCCAAACATCCCATTGGATGCAGCTGCTTCTTAGCCAACTTTTTTCTGGCCAACTCCTTTGATTTTTGAAATGAGGAATATCAATTGGTAGGGTGCTGATGGGGTCACCAACTGAGCAAATATCAGCTGGTTGCTCAGGAACAGGCTGAAATTTGTACAGTGTATGACCTGCTTTAGACCAAAATTTGGAACTTCACTGGGATACTTTTCTAAAGGATATAAAAATGCAAAAGGTAATTCAGCTTAACAACATCTACCCAGAACCAAAGTTATGTTTCATGGATGCAGTTTTGGAGTGTTTATTCTGGAG